TTTAAAAATGGAAAACCTCCTTTTTATATTTTATTTTAAAGTCTGGAGGGGGGGGGGGGGGATCTAATTTAGGACACCATATTTCTTAAGACAATCAACACTTAAATGAAATTAACTAAAACTAACAGATTCTTGCATATTTTAAGGAACAGAGGAGTATCTTAAAAGATGGTGTGTTGTTAACTGTAGGACATATTTTATATACGATGTGGACACCACTTACCTACAAGAATACCTCTACAATTTTATAAGCAAAAACATTAAAGGTTCTAATGATATTATTCCATTTATATACATCAGTTCCGGTCATGGGCAGCCAATTACTGTACGGCAATTAACGTCACATACTGAAAGGCAAGTTCATCAGAACAGCAACCACAACATAAGCAGATATTTTAAAACCAAATGTTGCAAGTACGATTGGAACCACACCAAAGTGTAATAATTTGAATTTAAATATTTTGAAATCATTCTATGAAGCGTATTTTTGAAAGATATTTTCTAAATGGAAAACTAAGTGATATATTGCCTCAAAGATTTTTAAAATTTAGTATTTTGGAAGCATTAATTACATAGAATTAATTGCTGACCAATTAAATATAATGTTACTCCTGAAGGGGACACACCTAAAAGTTTCCAAAACTGAACTGTAACATCTAAACCTCTATCAAAGCACCTTTTGTGGCCAATATATGTAAAACATGATGAAGACTTCCTTTAATGTACAGAACAAGAAGTTTTGAAAGAGCATGTTTTACCATGTTAGCACTTTCAAAAATGTCATGAACTGTAGTTTTTTATTCTGAAGGCAGCTTATTTAGAAATTGTATCATGATCATTAACCAGTTCCTGAAAGTTTTAAAACACATCTTCTCCAAAGCAGTTCTCCTTCTCATCTCCATTAGATAAGAATATACAATAGCAATACTATTCCCTCCTCGTCCTTTTAGAAGATGAAAGATAACATTTTTCACACTGGTAGCATTTAATGTTAGCATCTTAGTATAAAGTATTTGAGATTTTTAGTTTGAAAATAGTAGTGTTGTAAACCCAGGAAGAATGATACCATTAAGCCAATTCATAGGCATGTTCAGACAGAGAAAAAGATGCCAATGGGGAAAAAATAAAAATAAAACAAGGTGTTAAGTTCCAGAAAGGTGGAAAGCACTGTGGAGTACAGATACAGGCATATTAAACATATGTAACAGGTAGCGTAGAACAGGAGGGATTTTTAGACCACCGTCTGAAATAAGGTATTTTAGGACATACTAAAAAAAGTATAGACCTACCTAAGTTATTCTGCGTACACACATGAGGATTTTTCTCTATTTCCTTCTACATATTTAACATGCTACTTTGTGTACTGAAGATATTTGTTATACATTATATTCAGATTTAGCAATAAGTGCATTCATATGTATACCAAAGTTGGGTTACACAAAAAAAAAAGTTTTAAGTTTTCATAGTGAAAAATGCTTTTATCAGAAAGTCTAAACTTACTTTGCATCAACTGATTTTTAAAAAGCTAAGTACATGTTCTTTCCATTGAGATCAGACAAAAAGTCTCAGAGTTAGAAGTTTAGACAAGCAAAACTATATGCAGTCAAGAAAAAGATCTGTAGACCTAATCTGATTGGAAGGAATCTAGAGATACTCAAGTTATTCTTTTATCTTAGAGTACTAAACCCATATAATGGTGGGATGGTGCTGTTTGGGACAATCCCCATTCTCTTGCCCCCACGTGCTTCCTTTTGCTGACTATAACAATCACACAGTTTCAGGGCAGCCATAGTGAGATGATTTGGTGGAAAACTAACTCAGTAAGCAACAGACTTATTTATTGATCAGTGAGCTTGTCTAAGCTTTGCCTCAGCTGCACCACTGCAATACAAGGGAAGAGGAAGGAACATATGACCAGGGCAGGTGGAAAGCCAGCCTCCACCTCTCACGGTAGCCAGCAGTTAAGATTAACTTCAAATGCAACTTTATACCCTCAACTCATCACTGGCTGCAGTAAGAAGATCAAGGAGAAAATTTTAAGTCTTTGAAGGCCTAAAGTAAAGGATGGACAGGATTTTTTTTCTTGAATTGCTAGTCACCCTGGACTCACCTGATACAAACCATACAAGTTGGAACAGCAGTTGGAAACCTAGGAGAGCCTGTTTACCATTATTGAGGAGCTTTACTGTAAGGAACATACAATAAATAAAGATAAGAAGAGAAGAAGCTAGGTCTAGATGCTTCAACTAAGGCCAGAAAATTAACTGTATTTTGTATCATCTTAGCTAGGAAACTTAAACACTTCTTGGCAAAGTCGGAATATTTAAAGGCTTGCAAACTTCAGAGCTGCAGTGAGATACTCATTAATAATAGTGAAGGGATTAAGTTTAGAGCTCACAATTGCTAAACTGTGACTAAATACTTCAGAATTGGTTATTTTTGGTCAAAACACATGCAAAAAGTTCAATCTGGCAAATAAGCCATAGTACAGGCCTTGTAGTAAAATACACTGCAATTAATTCATTGCTGCTTGGGTTGAAAACAATTTTATTTATCTAAGGAAGAATATGGTTTTCTACTTGGCAACCGTAAATCTAACAAATTAAACCACACTTGCCAGGATCATACAGTTTTTGACGTGCAAATTGCATTCTTGATTTACTCATTAAAATTTTTAAAACATCTTTTGAGATAGGCACCAAGGTTCTCAAAACTTCCTCAGCCTAACTCACCTTCAAAGCAACATAGATGCAAGTTTTCTACTATTTTCTGATTAAAAGATGGCTAGAAATGCATGTGGTATATCTGAAAAATCTTATCCATTTCCACAGAAATATGGTTAAGCGGTGGGGGGAGGAGGGGAAATACCTGAAATAAATCAAACCCTTTTAGTCAGATGCAAAAAAT